GGAAGCCACCTCCTTTTCATCTTACAGCTGTCCAGCAGAGAGGAGAGCCCTGGCATCTCTTTCATTCTCAGCCCCAGGGGGAGGGTGAGAGAGAAGCCAGGAGAGCCCTGGGGGACCAAGCTCGGCCCTCTCACTCTCCTCGAGGCAACTGCTTGGCCAGCACTTGGACCCCTGGCCTGGGCATCCGGTGGTAAAGACCCCTCTGGTGGTTAGAATATGGATCCCAGACCTCTTTTTGCTCCCCTGACTCCTCTGCCAGCAAGTGTTCCTGCTCACAGCACTCACCCCAGCCAAGCCCCTTCTCCACCACGTTGGGAGCCTGCCCTCGAGTTAGATTCCTGCAGAGACACCTTCTTGGATCTTCCCAGAGACTCGCTAGTCACGTCAATCTCTCCATCCTAAGTTCTCCATTTGTGTGGAGATGAGGACACTGGAGCCCAGAGAGGTTACATGACCTGCTTAGTGTCACACAGCACATTTGAGCATTAGCCTCCAAGGCCCTAGAATTCCACATCATCCCAGCTCTTCCTGAAGGGAATGCCTTTCCTTTCCCTTCTCTCCAAAGCTCCACTCACCTTCCCTTTTGCTTCCAAGCACAAACAACCACTCTGAAGCCCCCAAGCCCCAGAAGTTCTGGGATGAGGGTTTCCTTCCCTCTCTGAAGGATGCCCTCATTCCAGCTCCTTCTCACTGGAGTGGACTTAGAAGTCCCTTCCCCAGGAATCCTTCCCCCTGGCTGTGGCCTGGGCAGGACTGACGCCTGAAACAGCCACGTCCCCTCTTGCCATGGAATGACGCCTTCTACCCCTCCCGCAGCCCAGGACTTGACCCAAACCATCCTGCCGGAGGACACTATCCCTTCTTGCCTCGCACCCATCCTCCAAGAAACCTCCCCAGCAGAATGAAGCTCCCCCTCCCTGGACCTGCCCTGCCAGCACCTGCTGCAGCATCTTTCTCTGCCTGCCTCTGCATCAGAGGTACGTGCGTGTGCCTGGGTGTCCACCGGTCTGTGAGCTCCATGAGGGCATGAACCATGTCTTTCTTTTCTTGGTGTCCCCAGTGCCTGGCACAGAGCAGGTGCTCCAAACCATCCTTCTTGAATTTAATTGAACCTAAGGCTGGTGGTTTGGCAGTCACACACCTGGACTCCAGGCTGCCGAGCTATGACGAGAGCTCCAAGACCAGCAGAGGAAATGGAGAGAATGGAGAGGAAGGAACAGGACCCGCCCCAGCCCCTTCCTGCTCAACAGCACATGGCCACCTCTCGGGTCTTCCCGTCCTCGGCCCAGCCTGGCCCCGCCTGGCTGAGACGATGAGGAGGAGGGGGCCAGTCAGAACATAGCAGGTCTGTGGGGGTGATTGGTCTCTTGCATGGGTTCATTTAATGCCCAGTTTCATGGGAAATCCTCTCCTCCTCACCTCCACCCCAACTCTGGGTGCTTGGGGCTGACCTCAACCAGACACAGAATAAGGGGACCCACCTCCAGTATAAGTGGACGGTTTCTTACCAGAGCTGGGGACCCAGGGGATAGTGCTGAGAGAACTCAACTGTCCTGTGGGAGACCAGGGAACTGAGCCCCCAGACCAGAGAGAGAGAGACCCAGCTCTTCCTACAGCGTCTACTTTTGGCTTATCTCCCGTGAGCTGAGATCGCCACAAGAACAATCGAAATCAGGCAACTCGAGAAGCTTCAGGCCTGGAGGCTGGCAGCAGCACAGCCCAGCACCAGAGCTGGTGGACTCTCCTCTGGGGGCTTTCGGAAGCACTGCCAACTTGGTGGGTGCTGCCAGAGGCAGGGGCATGGCAGAGGCGGCCCAGGATACCACACTGGACAGTTGGCCATGGGGGGTGGGGACCACAGGCAGGACTAGTGCTGAGGAAGGAGGGCTCTCCTGGGAGGACCGCATGTGGGAGGCAATGCCGCCGTCACCAACCTGGTCTGCCCTTCTGGCTGGCTGCATGACTCAGAGCCTGCGGGCAGGTCTAGATGTGCTGAGGCAAGTCCCAGCCTCCCCTCCCTCCCCACTGTCCCAGCAGGCCTGGTGGGGGCGAGCTTCCTCCTCCCTCTCCATCTAGAGCTTGGCCACGACCCTTCAGGCCAAGGGGTCACTGCTCTGCACCTGAGCAGGTCAGAGACTCCCAGGTGGCCCAGAGGGCCCAGCAGCATCCTGACAGGTGTCTCTCCTAGGGGCAGGCACCCACATTCAACATCTCTAAGCCTCGCAAATGCCCTGCCACTTGGGCAGCACAGGCATCATTATCACGTATGAGGTGAGGAAACTGAGGCCCACAACCTCACACCCAGCATGGCTGAGTCTCAACTCAAACCCCGGCCTTCTGATGCTAATTCCCCAGCCCACACCCAGGCCATGGTCTGGAGTGGGGAGGGCCCCACGCTCTGATATACCCGCAGGACCAGGGTAGAGGCAGCTGGCCTGGGCCAGGCAGGCCTCATCCAGTCCTTTCTCAAGCTGGCGCCTGACCCCTTGGACTGGGCCGTTTTGTCTATGAGACTTAGGGAAAAGGCTGCTGGAATAAGCAGGCTCTCAGCTCCTGGGGAAGGGGAGCCATGAGGACCAGGATTCCATCAGTCACCTTCAGCCTTGTACATTGCTGCTGGGTCTGCCTTGGACTTCTCTAAGCAGTTTCTCTGTACTTGAACATCCCTCTGACTTCAGGAAGGACGAATAGTAGTAACCGCCTTGGGGTAGTCCCTTATGATGTTCTAGGCACCGTGCTAAAGTCTTGACATGCAGAATGTCATCTCTCCTGCACCCCAAACCTGCGAGCCCGATGTCATTTGCCCTGTTATTGATGAGGTGACTGATCTGAGAGCAGCTGGAAGCTTGTCTGAGGTGAGTGGCAGCACTGGGATTTGAGCTCAGGTCTGCTGGCTCCGAAGCCCATGCTCTTAACACTGGGACCTGGATTTCACTGAAGCACCCTGCCACTGATGGGGAAACAAAGGCTGCCCTGGGGATCCCTCCCGGTGCCCTGGTGACAGCTCCCATCCTCTCCTGCCTGTGGTCGCAGGGCTCTCCTCCCCTCCCCGCCTCCCCACCTCCCCACCCCAGAATCTCCCAGAGTAATCTGGAAGCGTGGGGGTTAAGTCACCTCCCTCTGCCTGTGCTGTCTGCGGGCTTTGTGTTTGCCTAGGCTGCACCTGCCACAGCCCCACCATTCCCACAAGGCTGGCAGGGAGTACCAGCTCTGCATGGGCACAATAAACATGCCCGCTCCAGACCAGCCCCCTGTCCGCCAAGTGCCGCTGGTGTGAAAAAGCATCAGCTCAGGCAGAGATGAACTCGCAGCCGCCCGACCCCAGGCCTGCCTGGCCAAGCCCTCTGAACCCCCAGGTGTGGGGCTGAGACCTGCAGGACAGATACTCTGGGAAGGACCCCGCCTGTTGGTCCTGCAGTCTGAAGGAGGATGGTCCCCCGCAGAGGAGGCCACCCTGTGAACCCCTGGTGGGAGAGGGAGGCAGGTCCGGAGTGGGGGCAACTCACCCCCTTTTTACAGCAGGGAGCGAGGCTCACACACACACAGGGAAGCATCAGTGACCATCAGAGGTATGAGACCTGGCTTTGCTGGACGGCCCCGCTGTCACCAGGAGGCAAACACGGGCCTGGGTTGCTCTGTCCTTTTTGCAGATGACTCTCCTTAGCTGGGGCTGATCCTCCCCCTCTTCTCGGACCATTTGCTTTGCAGCCGCAGGATCAGCTGAGAATGACCCCTGCCCTCCCTCCCCCTTCACTCCTCCCTTTCAGTGTGGACTGTGGCTGGCAGTGACACTTAAAAGCCAATGCAGGGAAGGCACCTGACCTTGGGGAGGAATGTGGGAAATGTCTGCAGCCTGGAGCAGCCACCCCCCACCTGGAACCCAGGAATGTGGGCTTCCGGGGCAGGCAGCCTAAGGCCCCCAAGGCGGGTGTGTGCATGTGGTTGGAAGAGAAGGAGGGTGCAGGGCCCAGGAGTGACACTGTTGAAAAGCCCCATAAGGTCACCTGGCAGAACTCCTACTTGGTTATACAGGGTGAAGATGGACAGTCAATGCCACCCTCCTTGTGGCACCACACAGCGCCCTCTCTGATTCAGTTAGGGCACGGTCTCTTACTCCTGGAGGCCCCTCAAGCCAGAGGCCATGGATACAGCTGTAACTTTTGACTTCTCAGACCCACAGAACCACAGAATGTCAGAGCCCTTTGAAATTAGCAGCTACTGCATCCACCCCATACTACAGACGTGGACACTGAGGCCAAGAGAGGGGATGGAGGTTGGCCACAAGCGCACTAATTACGGGCCAGGACTCTGGGCTATGTGCTTTTCCCACACCCCTCCACGATGCTGGAAGCCAGCATCTCCTCCTTCTGCCAGTAGACCAGGTGCCCCTCCTCCTCCCCAAGTTCCCACAGGGTTCTTGCAGGGAATCCAGAGCCTTCCGTGCCCTTCACTGCCAGGGGTGGGAACTGCAGGCAACAGAGCAGACACCAAGGGCCTGGCCTCTACGCTCTATGCTCAAGGCCACACTCCAGCACCTGGAGAGCAGGTGATCTGTGCTCTGGCTGGACAGCATTGATAAGGCCAAGCTAACTCCAACAGATGCCCCTCTTTGGGACTGAAGCCCGAGAAAAGGTGGAGTAAGGACTCTGCTGCCCTCTCGTGGCCACACCTGGGCATGACTGCTGTCGTCCAGGCCTTCCGTGGCTTCTCTTCTCCAAGCTGTGGAATCTCACCCAATCCCCATCCTCCTGTCAAGTGCTCCAGGAGGGCTGAATGGGGTGGGCGTCATCCCGCCTCCCATCACCTAGGACAGAGCTGTGGCTGCACAAAGCAGGATGGGGAGGGTGGATGATGCCTTGTTCACTGCTGGATCCTGGAGGAAGAAGGCCTCGGGCCAACAGGTGAGGCCAGTCTGTTACCCAGACTGCCTGGGTGTTGGGAGAGACTCAGTGGTTTCCAAAGAGACAGCCTAATCAACCAACACTGGACAGGATGCCTTGAAAATTCCGAGGATATTTATTTCTCGGGAAGGTCCACAACAGCTGGCAGGCACTGCCCTCCCTTGCCTGCTCTGAGGGATTCCTCCCTCCTTTTCTGAGAAATCCCCTCTCTTCTTGGAAGTGCCCATGGGACGCGGGGATGTGAACAGAAACCATACACAACATTCCAGAGCCTTAAAAAAATAAAGCAACAAACAGCCTCCTCCACACAAATACACACACACAAAATAAATAGACGTATAAAACAGAGGCTTCGCTCCACCCTTCCTAGCTGAAGGGCTGCTCTGGAAGAGTGGAGCTGGGTGGCTTTGCCCCACTTCTCCCAACTAGGATTTCCAGAGGCTAAATGGTATGGAAGTGCCTGACAGCCAAGACTAAGCCCTGGCTTCAGAGAGAGGGCAGGGAGGGACCCCTCTCTGGAGCTCAGTGGGGAGAAGATACAAAGGAACAAATAAATAAATAAATAGAACCCAACTGCTCCCAGAGGCCTAAGGGCTTAGGCTGAGGCTGGGGCCCCTGGGGCCTGTTTCCCTGAAAAGAGCAGATCCAGTGACAGGCAGAAAGAATAACAGGGAAAGCACAAGTCCAAAGCCCCACCCACTTGCTGCCAGAGCCTGCATCCTTCAGATCCCAGAAGGGCCCAGGCCAGAACCCAGCCTCAAACCAGCTCTGGAGGAAGGTGGGGTGGGCTGAGCTGCTATCTAGTCTAGCAGGAGCCTAAAGGCTGGGGAGCCCGTCCCTTCTCTTCCCTGTGCTCTCTGAGGCCAGCAGGGCCTCCCTCCTTGCCTTCTTCCTGACCATCTCTGTAGAAGATGCCTCCAGTGTGGGCCCTTCCCTAGGAAAGCTAAGGCACGGCCCTCTCCTGCTTCTGTACTCATTGGCCTTCTCGACCCGCGGCACCTGAATGGGCTGGGCGAAGTCCTTATGAGACTGTAAATAATCAAAACAGTCCATCTTGGTGTCCTCCTCTGCTCCATTTGGCCACAGATGTCCCCACCGCCTCCAGCCAAGACTGCACATGAGGCTCCCTTCAGGCCAACAGGGAGAAGGAGTCAGACAGAGGCAAGAACAGAGAAGGGGGCAGGAGCTGCTAGAATGGGCAGTTTGAGCAGGAGGCCAAACCGGACACATGAAGAAGTCCAAGGGACTCAGGAGTCCCAGGGCCCCTCCTAGGGAAGCATGGCCAGCCGGGGGCCGGGGAGAGCACAGGGTAGGGGCAGGCCGGCCACTCAGCTGGGCAGCAGTACGTGCTCCAGGAGGTAGGTGAGGGAGTCCCAGTGCTTCCAGAGGAGGAAGAGGACGAGGACCAGGAGGGCGGTGCTGGTGATGCGCAGGCGTGTCTTCATGAGGGGCGTGATGAAGTTGGCGATGGTGGACACGAACACCAGCAGCACGGCCATGAGCGCCAGGATCACGTTGATGAACTTGCCCAGCAGCGCCCGTGCATTGGCATTCTCCACGCCCTCCAGCTGCACCACCTGCTGCTGTTGCTGCTGCAGCTCCAGCTTGGTGACCCGGGTCAGGCAGGACTCCACGGCCTCCTGCAGGGCAGAGGGGTGGGCCCACGGGAGTCAGGGTGGGCAAGCCCTGCAGGCTGACCCCACTTGCCTCTCAGAGAAGACGACAATAAACAGGGTGCCCCCTCCAAAGGCCAGGCAGGGTAGAGGTTGATCAGCTGCAGCTGGGGGCAGTCCTTTAATGATGACTATTTGGGGAGGATGGTAGGAAATGGGAGTCTTGATTCATGTGGGAAGGGGAGGGGCTGGCCCAATCCCAGCTTCCTCTTGAGGCAGTCTAGAGCCTGGAAGCTCCAACTATTCAATGGCCAGGCTGCCATGGAAGGGCTGGGGGCATGGGTGGCCCTTGCCAGGGGGCGTGCCTTTGCACAGTGCACATTCTGCCCCAGGCTGCCTCGCTCTTATCTCCACACCCCACGCCCCACGCTGCCCTCCTCATCCGTGTGCCCCGGCCACCGGAACAGCCTGTGCCCATCATCCCCACTTGGTAAACCGTCACCCTCCGGCTGCTGCCAGCTCTGTCAGCACCTCTGGGCCCCCAGCTCAGCCCCTGGTCGTACCTGGATGTCCCGGGCCCTCTCGTAGGACTGGTAGGCCACCTTCTCCTCCATGCTGGCCAGCTCCTGCTTCAGGTTGCTCATCTCATTCTGATGCAGCTCGGTCAGGTCGTTGAGCTGCTCCTCCAGCCGCTCGTACCTGGCAGAGGGAGAAGGTGGGACTCGTCCTGGCTCCCTGAGCCCCCGTCCCTCCCCGGGGTCAACTTCATTCCTTCTCAACAGTGGCTCAGCCACCGCAAATGTTCAGCCCTGTTCAAGTTTAACGGCAACAACACTGACAGCTACTTTTTCCCCAGCACTTCTTACGGGCAGGCACTGCGCTCGGCACTTCACCCACACCATCGCAGGACCTCACCACAACCCCACGAGACAAGGACGCACAGCAGCCCCACTTTACAGACAAGACTGAGGTGTAGAGACATTAAGGAACTTGCCTAAGAGCACACAGTTCATGAATGGAGGAGTCAGCACTCCTCACTGACCGACTTCAACCTGGGCCTCGAGCCCTGGGCAAAGACACTCCCCTGGGTACCAGAGACACAGGGATATAGACACTCGATCCCTGCTCTGGAGGCACAAAATATCAAAAGATGACTATTATGTGGGGGAGTTAGTTTTCAGGCAGGGTTCCCCCTCAATTTTCCAAACCTTCTTCAGATATATAAAGAAGAAAAAGAAAAAGTGCTAACTAAGGAAAAGATCCCCAATAATCTCAGGGAGCAAGTGCCAAACACTGCCCGAGAGGCCCAGAGCAGAAGAGCCGTGCGGCGGGGGGAGGGGACGAGACCCCAGCTCCATCCAGGCCGACCCAGAGCTTCGGATCGATGTTCAAACTGAGCGTGCGGATGGTGACATGCATGGACTTGAAAGGTTTGGACTCATTAAATCTCACAAACCCTACGAGTAGAGATTCATGTTACTCCCACTTCACAGATAAGGAAACAGGTGTAAAGAGCGTTAAGTACCTTGCTCAAGGTAAATAGTAAATAGTAGAGCTGGGAGTTGAACCCAGGTCACCTGGCTCCAGAGTCAGCGCTCTTAACCAGAATCTCCAGACAAGAGGCCATGTGGCTGGTCCCTACCTCAGTTTCCCCTTCTGTACACTGACCACATAACCATCGAGTAGGGATGCTCAAAGCTCCTGAGACAGGCAGAGCCTTCCTTCCGTTGGTCCCACAATCCTATCTCCCAGCTGCTCTGACCAGTGTGGAGGAAGGCTTCTCAGGGCCTCTCCCTGGCCCCTTCCCGCTGCCCAGGACCCTTCTAGATGCTGCTCCACCTGCCTCCACAACCCCGATCTGAGACCTGGCAGCAGCGCGGGTGGTGGCACCTACCTGTAGCGCTCCTCCTGCAGGCACTGGGTCATGCAGGTATAGTCCCTCTGCAGCTGAGCCTTCAGGTCCTCCATCGAGTCCTCCAGGTGGGACTGGCCCTCCTTGATCTCCCGTAGCTCTTCCAGCAGAGCGTCCAGGTTGCCAGAGGCCCCATACAGCGTGTTCGACTTGGGGCTCCCCAGTGCCCCGGCGGGCCCGGCCCCGGAGTTGCTGCCCGCCCCGGCCGAGCTGGCACTGGCACTGGAGCACTCGTCGTCGCTGCCATACTTAGGGCTGGACACGAGTGTGGCGCTGCCGCTCAGCGCCCGGGCCACCTCCTCAGGGGGCCCATCCTCCAGAGGGTCCTTCAGGTGGGCAATGTTGTCGGCGCTGCCAAACTTGTTGCGGATGAGGCTGGCAAACTCCCGGGGCTTGGACACCACGGCGGTGTGGGTGGCCTGCGAGAGGCCCGAGAGGCTGCCCTTGACACCCTCCACCACACCGCCCCCAAAGCCACTGATGCCTGCGCGCATGTTGGCACCCACGTCCTTCAGCCCCTGCTGCATGTCCCGCAGCACATCCTTGGGCTGCCTCGAGGGCCCGTTCTGCTCGATCTCCTTCAGGCGCCGGCGGTAGTGCTCCAGCTTCTTGTGCAGCTGGGCGATGGTCTGGGCGGACTTCTGGTTCTTCTTCTCGAACACCTGCTTGATGCGCGACACCTGTTGCTTGTCGGCGTTGTTGGCCAGCTTCAGGTACTCTGCCACGTTGTCATCCCGCGCCTCCTGCTCGATCTTGATCTGCTCGGTGATCTTCAGGATCTTCTGGTGCAGGTGGTCAATGGCGGCCTTGGTCCGCTGGGGGTCCGGGGCCCCGTCCGGCACGTCCAGGCTGATTGGGCCGTCAGTGTCACCATGGCCAGGGCCGCCAGGGAGGCTCAGGGCCACGAGGTCTCCCTTGTCGACCTGGGAAAGAAAGCAAGCAGAGGAAGCTGGGTAAATCATGAAACCATGGGTGAGGACACGGCAGGATTCTGTCCTGTGCCCCTGGACACTCTGGACTTGGTTTCTCTGCCTGGAAAATGGATGTAGGATGAATAGGAAACCTCAGGGCAAGTCTGAAAGAATGCCGACAACCATGTCTCTTACAGCTGCACTGATGGCAGGCTCTCACATCTGCTATCCACCCAATCCTCACAACACCCCTAAAACCCAGTCTAGCAGATCTGCTCCCTCTTCGGCCCAGGGAGGTCAAGTAAGTCACTCAGGGACACACAGCTACGAAAAGACAGAACCTCCAGCCTAGAACGCCTGCTGCTCCATCACAAGGATTTCTCAGGGATGACAGAGTGTCCCTCTGGATTCAATCCCCCATAAGGCTCCTGCCTTGAGAGGCCTCTCCCTCAGAGGTGACCAAAGCCTATGCTTTGGCCCCACGCAGGGGCAGGCAGCCCCCCGCCCTCCCACCCTGGCTTCCCTAATGCAGTGCAGCGGGTCACCCGCCTCTGCTGACCCCTCTCCCAGCACCTGTTACCTTCCAGCTCTCTGGAGTTGTCAGCAACCTCTTCCGCCTCATGACAGGGGGAGCACCTGGCCCTGCCCAGTCTCCCAGACCCAGCGGGAGCACACCCCTACCCGCCCTGCTGGCCAGGTCCCCGGGACTCAAGTCTCAGAAGTGATCCAAAGGCCAGGGAAGCAGGGACCAGTCTGGGGGCCTGAGGGTACCAGCTGCCCAGCTTGGAAGGGGGTGAACGCACAGGAAGGAGATGACAGCCCCTTTTCCTCGCTGGCAGGCAGGCAAGCTGGCTCCCGAGTGCATCAGGGTGGCACAAAGGAAAAAGAGGCGAGACTGAGAAAGGATGGGGGGAGGGAGAGAAAGGAAGGAAAGGTCACAGAAGATGGGAAAGATGGGAAATGCCGGTCAGACGAAAGTGGGCAGGCCGGGAGCCCTGCTTTCCCAGGGCCGGTCCCCCTCAGCCTGTTGGAGGATCTCTCTGTCCACAGCCGGGTCCTCGGTGTCTTATCACCATGCAACAACGGAAGCAGCAGGAAATGGCTCAACTCCTGGTATTTTTACACACAGCACACTCCAGTACAGCCGGGTCAGATCACTCGCTCTTTATATGTATGGGGGGGGTGGGCGGGGGGGTGAGGTGTTTGTGGTGGAAGGGGTTAAAAACAAAGAAGGTGGCCCGGTCACACGCAGCAGAATCGGAAACGGCCCATGCCAATTATAGGCAGAAGTCACTGGGCTCGATTTCTGCCGAGGTGCAAAGTTATTGGAAAACACTATTAAAAACAACACCCCTGCCAAACGCAGGAGCCGGGGAGGGGGGCTCCTCTGCGGGCTTCCTCTGGGGTCTTTTCAGGTCACAGTCCCACTGGGGATGCTGGGGAATCCGCCGATCCCTTCCCCATCTCTCTTGAAGTCAGGACTTTCCTCTTACATTTGCTTTGGGTCTCTGGCCCTCCCCTCAAGTGCTCATACCTTCAGGTCCCTGCTCCTCTGAATTCCTGACCTTTTGCCAAAGGAGCCAATTCCACAGTCTCCCTTAAATTATCTGTCCCAAGGTCTGGGACAGACCAGTCACACCAGTGTGACTTAAAACCCTTCCTGCCGTTAAACCCCTCCCTCCTGCCTGTTCCCTGCAGTGATGGCAACCAGCCTCTCTCGATTTTTCTGACCCTCAGTGCTCCCCCCTGAAAAACGAGATAATCATATCTACTCTCAGGTCTTTTGTGAGGGTCACACAAGCTGATGTCCAGCAAGCACTTAGCACAGTGCAGGGGACTGTGCAGCAAGCACTCATAAATGCTGTCTGATCTAGACAGCATATTTTTTGGGGGTGGGAAGAAAACGAAGTTTATTTAAGAGATTATACCAACAAATTTACTCCGTATTGATACTACAATATAGATATTGAACTACACAAAATTAAATTTTATATGCAACATGTGGCTTTTAATATTAAAGAACTTGACCCTCTTCTAAGGCCGCTGTCCTTTCCAAAGAGGCTCAACTCTCCTTCTCTTCCACTCTCTTTGTTGGGGAAAGAATGTCCAGAAAATGAGTTTCAGGTCTGGCTGCATCACTGCTGGATGCTCAGAGCTGGGTGGTGTACATGTTCATAGTCAGGACAGCATCCGTCCCAGCCACTTGGAGGAGCGGGGGAGGAGCTAATGAGACATGGATGTGAAAATGCTGTGAAAAGAATTTAAAAAAGGGCTTTAGGATGACGAGGGGGTGTAGAACAGCAAATTCCCAGTCTGTCATGGCTTGGCCCTGGCAGCCTAGAGTCTTTTCTTCCTCAGTTTGGCAGCTGTCTAGTTACAAATGGAAAAGCAGAGTGGAAGCTGGCTGTGAAATCCTCACGAATGAAAGGACAGTAGACACCCCAGGAACTCCAGCGGGGGCTGACAGCGGGCTGGAGTGGCCCCCCAGGGGTCCTGGCCCCCTCACCCACCCCTCTTCTCTGTCCTGAGCCCAGACTTGAGCCTGGGGTCTTGCAGCAGGACACCAGCTCCTTCCTGCCCCTCCACTGAGGTCGACCATGCCTGGATCCTGCCGGTCACCTGCAATCACAGAACACCCCACTTTGCTCTCCTCCCCATGGTGGAAGGTGGGGAGCTCTCCACGCCCCCTCGCTCTCCAGGCACACACCCCATGGCAGCAGTGCCCCTCAGGACTGGAGGGAGACAGGTGACTGAAGAAAAGAGAGCCAAGGAGGTGGCAGGCAGACAGGCAGAGATGCAAAGAGGGATTATGCTCTAGCAAGGGAAAGAAGACTAGACCATTAGAAGAAAAAGATGAGAAAGCTGTATGAGGGACGGAACAAACAGAGCACGAAAAGAGGAGAAAGAGATTTGCTAAAAAAAAAAAAAAAAAAGCATAGCAATGAGATAGGATACAGAGCGCATGCAGGGCAATGGAGAGGGCACTAAATTTGGAGTCAGTCTCCGATTTAGAACCCTGGCTCTGTCACTCCCCAGCTGTGTGCCCTTAGATATATCATTAACTTTTCTGGGACTCAGTTTCCTCATCTAGAAAAGGGGTGTAATTCTACCTACCTCGAAGAGTTGTCAGGAGGATGAAATGAGACACTGTGAGTGAAGTCAACAATGACAGTACAAGCTCAGGGCAGACAGCAGGTGCTCAAAACAAATAAAAATAATTCAGTGACACTTCACACCCACTAGGATGGCTCTAATTTTAAAAAGGAAAATAAGTGTTGACAAGGATGTGGAGAAATTAGAACCCTCAAACCTTGCTGGTGGGAATGTAGAATGGTGCAGCTGCTGTGGAAAACAGTTTAGGGGTTCCTCAAAAAGTTACACATAGAATTACCATGTGACCCAGCAGTTCCACTCCTAGGTATATACCCAAGAGAACTGAAAACAGGTATTCAAACAAATACTTGTAAACAAATGTTCACAGCAGCACTATTCACAATCAAAGGGTGGACACAACTCAAATGTCCATTAATCAGTGAATGGGTAAACAAAACTGGTATCTCCATACAATGGAATATTGTTTGGGCATAAAAGGAATGAAGTAACCATATATGCTACAACATGGATGAACCTCGAGAACATTACACTGAGCGAAAGAAGCCAGATACAAAGGCCACATATTGAATGATTCCATTTATAAGAAATGTCCAGAATGGTTAAATCCACAGAGACAGAAGGCAGACTAGTGGTTGCCAGGGGCTGGGGAAGGGAGAAGTGGGGAGTAACTGCTTAATGGGTACATGTTTCCTTTGGGGGTGATGAAATGTTCTAGAACTAGACAGAGGTGATGGTTGCACAACCTGGTCTGGAAGCCAGAGTCCTCCAACCTGCTGGCCTGGGCTGCAGCCCCGACCAACATCCTGTCATGGGGTGGGTTTGCAGGAGGGCATCTGGGTCCTTCCTCTCACAGTCGCATTTTCAATAGAGCAGAAGCTCTTCCTAACTCCTCCCAACCCCTGTCCTGGAGTGGATGACTAAAAAGAGGACAATACACATCACTCAACTCCCGGCCGCTAGCAGGCAGCCGGAGCACCGCAGCGAGTGGGCCACACACGCACCACTGCTCCTCTCCCAACACTGTCACAGAGCCCACAGGGCCCTCTGTCCACGCCCAGCCGCCAGCACCACACCTGGAGTTGTGGCCCCAGCACCACGGCCTCTTCACTCCACAGGCACCTGACCCCCGGATTAACCCCCGTGCGCAGGCTGGGCAATTCTGAGAGGAGCACTGTTGCCTGCAGCGATGGCCAACAGCCTCTCTGTTCTCTCTTGGTGAAGAGGCCAAGCTTCTTCCACAACTCCCTCTACGCCGGGCAATCAGGCGGCCACGCGGTGCTCTCTGCTCAGGGTGCCCTGCAGCCAGGGCCGAGGTCCTAGACCCTGTTCTATACAGAATGAGGTCCAAGAAATGCTGATGAATGTTCTGGAAGAGCCAGAGCTGGGATGTTGTCTGAAGTGTCCGGGGTCCACCCTTCCCTACCCTTCTCCCTGCTCCAGGGAGACATCCAGTGGCCCCCACACACCTGGGAGCACCCCACACATGGCCTCACAGCACCAAGGACTCTCCTTCCTGCCCTCTTCCAGCAGCTCTAAGCGAAGCTGGATTAGGCGCTCTGCCAGATGAGAGAAGCTCCCAGCCCCAGCTCCCCTGGGCCTGAGCTCACATCCTCGTGTTAACCCGGCCCCGGACACAGGACAAGGGCTCTTCCTCTCGCACACCAGCCCAGCAGCCTGGACCCCCGAGGCTGGGAGCACACAGCCGACTGTGGGACAGGCTCACGGGAAGCTGTGTGGGGAGGGAAGGGTACTAGCGATGTGAACTGTGAAACGTGAATTGTGGTTCTATTTCTGCAGCAATAGTACAAATACATTAAACATTCTTCAAGATGGACCATATCAGTAATCACCACTTGTGAGGACTGTGTGCTCCACACCTGTGCTCCCAGGTTCCCAAG